TGGTGCTCCCTTAGCATCTGTAACACTATCCTCAGATGAATCTCGTGATCCTCCCGAGATCGTGAATACACAAGAATGTCATCCACAAACACTACCACAAACTGGTCTAGATATATGTGAAAGACACGATGCATCATATCCATGAATGCCGCTGGTGCATTAGTCAACCCAAAAGGCATCACAATGAACTCATAATGACCATACTACGTACGAAAAGCTGTCTTCGAAATATCCTCATCTCGAACTCGTAACTGGTAGTACCCAGATCTCAGATCAATCTTGGAAAAGCAAATAGCTCCCCTCAACTGATCAAATAAATCGTCAATCCGCGGTAAAGGATACTTGTTCTTGATGGTTGCATGATTCAATTTTCGATAATCTATGCATAACCTCATAGAACCATCCTTTTTATTTGCAAACAACACTGGCGCCCCCCATGGTGAAACACTAGGCTGAATAAAACCCTTTAGCCTCAAATCATCCAACTGCTTCTTTAATTCCTCCATCTCTGCTGGTGCCATACGATACGGAGCCATAAAAATCGGCGTAGTACCAGGCAACAAGTCAATTACAAACTCAACCTCTCTTCTAGGAGGTAAATCTGGTAAGTCATCCGGAAACACATCTAAGAACTCATAAACGACTGACGGATAAACTGTCTCCACATCACCATCTTCTTCAGCTAAAATGCTAGCTAAGAAGAAATCACAGCGGTCCCGACCACGAACACCATAACAAGCAGAAAACAAGGAATCACTACGATCTCCCACAAACACAAAACAATCTCCTTCAGGCGTACACACCAAAACTCTACCACTGAAGTAATCAATCGTGGCATGAAATGATGATAACCAATCCATTCCGAGAATGACGTCAAACCCTGTCATCTCAAGAATGATGAGATCAAAAACCAAAGTCCGCCCAGCAATCACAATAGCACAATCCCGCACCACTCTACTCAAAACCAATGGACCACTGACCGGCATATCAACACACAATGCTCGGTCCAAACAACTAACTTCCAATCCCGATGCAAATGCAAATGTGTATGGAATGAATGAATGAGATGCACCGGAATCAAACAAAATGCGAGCCCAAGATCCAAAGACTGGAAACATACCCCTCACCACTGGCAGTCCCAAAGAGGACTCAGGAAGTGCATACACTCAGCCCTAGGATGCCTAAGCCTGTGAACCTCTAGCCTGAACCCCAGACTACTGACCAGTCCCTGAAGGAGTACCCTTCCCAACTGGTCTCGATCCCTGTGAAGATACAGCTGGTTATGGTGGTCTAAACCCATACTGTACTGTGGCAGACTGAGATGGTCTCTGATGTGTACCACAACCACTACCAGAACCTCTGCCTGAGCCACCAGTCCTCCTCGGACAGTCTCTAACCCTATGACCCTGCTGTCCACATCTAAAGCAAGCTCCCGTAAAAAAAGACTGCAGACAATCAGACACATAATGGCTAGGTTGTTGACATCTGAAACATATGACCTCACTCTTACCTGCTCCTGATGGTACGGAAGTCGAAGGAGTAGGTCGGCCTGACTGCTGTCCTCCAGACCTAGATGAACTCCCTCTCTGCCTCTTGCTAGACTGACCATCAGACCCTGAACTACTGGCCCGTCTTTGCTTCCACTGATCCCGAGTCTGATTTTTATCATTCAGTTCAGCTTCAACAATCAATGCCCTTTCTATAGCCTCAGGATAAGTCTGTAGGCACTGTGCTGCCACAAAATTCCTAATCCGAAAATGGAGTCCCTCCACAAACTTATGGACTTTATCTGATTCTTTACTTACAATCTCTGGAGCAAAACGAGAAAGAGAAGTGAATCTATTCTCGTAATCTGTCACTGTCATAGAGCTGTTCTGAAATAGAGAGATAAACTCCTTGTGCAGCTCCCATCTTTTAGTTGGAGGAAAGAACTTATTGTAAAATAACTCTTTGTAAGCATCCCACGACAATGTATTCACGTCCATTCTGTTAGACACTGACTTCCACCACAATTTGGCATCCTTAGTAAAGTTATAGGTAGCTAACAGAATCTTCACAGAATTATTTTCAACTGCCAAAGCATCAATATGCTTTTCCACCTGGTCAAACCAATCATCTACCAACAACGGGTCAGTCCCACCCTCAAACAGTACAGGCATAAGTTTGACAAATGTGGAGATAAGTTTGAGACGTCTTTTTGTCTCATCTTCCCCTGCAGACATCACTGGCGGTGGAAAACCTCCCTATACCACAGGGTGAGATGCAGAACTTTCCCATGACCGTCCAACTGCAGGCCCAATCTCTTGGCCTCTTGGTGCCCTGTTCTTTTTATAAGGCGGCATGCTACAATGAAATGCAAGTCAATAATAATGACACTATCTACAGTCCCAACTGACTCATATGGATAAAAGCCTTTAAACATATAGCATGCTTTATCATAATCAGATAAACACGTAATCACATATACACATAAGCATGCTTGCAAGGCAAATAATAGATAAACATGTAAGCACATAAAACAATGCAAACCCCTACACACACAGCTGTACACAGACCTCTATCCGTCGTCCCTAGGTTATAGGAACCATGCTCTGATACCACAACTGTCACACCCCGAGACCATAGTCAGGATTGTGAACACAACACGTAAATAATTATAGTCTCACAATCACTAATATCCCTGTAACCTGTCTTAACCACATATCCACCTATCTATTTCCTTTTTACAAAACCAAGACTGAAAGTAAATAGGTAAGACGCACATATTACAACTTTAAAGTTTTAAAGTCTGAAATAACATTTATTACATGCCAGGAATACTCTAAAGAAATATAAAACAAAACATAGTCTATCATGTGGAACAAAACACAACAACACCAGCCCCGACTCTGTCTACAGCTGATGAGGAACACCCTCTACACCATCCATGCTATGACCTGAAAAGATGTGTATAAAATAGGAATGAACAACCACAGCTCATCAGGAGTTACTTAAAACACACTCCTTAATACCTCCGTGAATCCAGACAAAGAACAGACAAAGGATAATGGGATCATACAAGCTCGGGAAAATAGAATATAATATGAGATAATAAAATGAAATGTCATGCAATGCCAATGCCAATGCTAATGCCACTGACACTTCTCACTTCCCAAAAATCCCATTTCCATTACAAAAAAAGTTAATGTAATCCGCCCAGGGCTGCTCCTCAGTACCACGAGAAGAGAGTTGGTCATCTATCCCTGATACAAGGCCACTCCTTGTGATTATTTGGGGCTCTAGTGACACAACTATGCGTAGAGCCACTCCCAACATCTCCTCTAGATTCCCATTAACTACACAGACAAGGCAACTCCTTATCCAGTTTTCAAATCATTGATTCAAATCCCTTTTCCAAATTCACAGATACAAGGCACCTCCTTGTTATCCGGTTTTTAAAACCATTTAATGAAACATTTTCACTTCCTTTTTCATTTCAACATCATCCCCATGCTCATGTGAGATGCATGTACCTTTATAGAATATTATATACAAGTAATGAAGTAAATAAGGAAATCTTGGTTCATATACAATATCATGGTATGCATTTTAATCCACACATAAGCATGTTAATTTAACAGTCTAACTAAGCACAATTGTAGAACACAATAAAACATGCTTTCTATTTCACATTTGCCATATAACAACTTTCATAGTGCTTAATAACATTTAGAAAACAAGTACCCAACTTCTGAAATATCATAACAACCAGTGTTCTAAATTTCAAGTAGCAGCCTATGTTTACAAGGTCATAACTTTTTCTCTAGTTTGAATCTAAAGCTAAAATTAGTGTAATTGGAAAGCTTGTTTTGAGCTAATCAATTTAGACTCAAAAATTGCTCAATTTGGATTTAAAATGAGAAAGTTATGGCCAGTTGAAGTTCAGGTCGATGCTCAGGAAATTCTGCAGATTTAATGCGCGAACCTGACAGCCTATGTTTACAGGGTCATAACTTTTTACACAGTTGGAATCTAAGGTTAAAATTGGTATCATTGGAAAGCTTGTTTTGAGCTAATCAATTTAGACTCAAAAACCACTCAATTTGGACTTAAAATGAGAAAGATATGATCCTTTGAATTTCAAGTTGCTGTGATTCCAAAATTGTGAAAAAACAAAGAGCAGCCTATGTTTTAAGCACAAAACACACATAGAATTGATTCCTTAAAGGTAAAGGGTGTGAGAGTTAAGTAATCCTATCTCAAATAAGCTTAAAAACCCTTGCAAGAACAATCTAAAGCAACCCAAATGATGAATCAAATCTATCCAAGATGAAAAATGAAGAACAATCTCTTCCTTGTTTGCTACCAAAACCCACTTCTTTCAAGGCAGATTGTAAGACCCCAACAATGAAGAAAGTAACACAAAGTGGATACCAAAATGAAGCCCAAGACATCAACTACACTTTTCATTCACAAACCCTTCTTAAAATCCCATCACTATAGCTCCAAATTTGCATGCAAAGGAAATGACTTTCAAGAGGAAAACAAAGGTACGAAAAATGTGTTTTGTAGATTGTTTTAGTTTGTAAAAAAAAAAAAAAAAACATTTTAATCACCTTACAATAGTCACCATACACACACCCAAAATACAGCCAAGTGTCCCTCCACATGTCAAGCATAAATCTAGCCAAAGCATGCCCCCATGAAATGACTAAAAGGCCATTCACATATTTACCAATTTTCATCTAGGCCATTCTTACAACAAAAGACTAGAATACCCTCCACGAAATACCAAATGCCAAATATGCCAATTGAAATAATAAAAGTCAACTTTGCCCTTTATAAAATAATCAAATACCATATATACCATTTGTAAAACAAAAAGTCCATAATGCCCTTTAGGAAACAAACAAATAACATTAAATTAAATTAAACACATTTGCAACTTGAATCATAATTTCTAATAATAAAAATAAAATGCATGAATGCCACCATGTGTGGAAAATGATAAAAATGCAAAAATGCAAGTCCTCACAGTAACTACTTCACTGGCTTCATTCCTGCTTCACTGGGAAACATTTCAGGTTTGGAAAAACTATGGTTAGGAGCTAACAACATTGAAAGAAACATTCCTGTCGAGTTGGGGTTTCTTACAAATTTACTTGAATTGTGGTTGGAAGAAAACAGGCTCACTGGGGGCATACCTCCTCAAATTTTCAACATCTCCTTATTGCAATTAATTTATCTTTCATTCAACCCTCTTTCAAGGAATCTTCCATCTAGTGATGCATTTTAGCTGCCTAATCTTGAAAAACTATACTTGAATGACAACCAATTTGGCTCAAGCATTCCCCAGTATCTGTCAAATTCTTCTAAACTCCGTGTGGTAGATCTGGGCTATAACCTGTTAATTGGACCAATACCCATAAGTTTAGGCAACTTAAGACTCCTCTAATTTTTGCATATTGATAGTAATCTACTAACAGGCGATCAGGAAGGTCTTCAACTTAGTTTTTTTGCCGTACTTACAAACTGCAGATTCTTGAAGAGACTAATTCTGGAGTTCAATCCATTGAATGGTATCCTACCACATGTCATTGGCAACCTTTCAAGTTCCCTTCAAACGTTCGTTGCAAATGGATACCAGATAAAGGGCTCCATTCCCAGTGGAATAGGTTCCTTGAGAAATCTAAACCTATTGGCATTAAGCAACAACAATATCACCGGAACTATCCCATCAACAATTGGAGGATTAGAGAACCTGCAAAGATTATATCTTGAAGGCAACGAAATTGAAGGATTCATTCCCATTGAGCTCTGTCATTTGCAGAACTTGAGAGAAATCTCACTCCAAAGCAATATACTCTCTGGATCAATCCCAAACTGCATAGGAAATCTTAATCATCTGCAGAAGCTATATTTAAGCTCCAACACTTTGACATCTCCTATACCGGTAAGTTTATGGAACCTTGAAAATCTCTTGTTCATGAATTTGTCTCTCAATTCATTAGGTGGACAACTACCTTTAGATGTGAGAATGTCAAATGTCATGGAAAGCATGGATATATCTTGGAATCAGATCTCTGGTGATATTCCAAGCATTATTGGCACATTTAAAAGTCTAAGTTCACTGAATCTCTCAGGGATTTCATTCCAACGACCCATTCCTCAATCCTTTGGTGATTTAGTAAGTTTGGAAGGCATGGATCCCTCCCATAATAATTTGTCTAGTACAATTCCAAAATCTCTCGAGGCACTTTCACACCTAAAATACTTGAAATTTTCTTTCAATAAGTTATCAGGGGAGATTCCTAGCAGAAGGGCCTTTGCAAACTTTACAACGACATCTTTTATTGAAAATGAAGCACTTTGTGGGTAGCCAAATTTTCAAGTTCCTCTTTGCGCAAGTAATAGAGCCAACAAATCAAGGATGAAAAAAACTCTGCTCAAGTATATTCTTCCAACAGTGTTGTTTGTATCTTTGCTGCTCTTATCTATTTTTGTGGCAAGAAAATGTCGAGCAAATAAAAACCAGAATCCAATTTCAGTTGCTCTAACACCTACAATGGAGCCTAGAATGATTTCCTATCAGGAACTTTGTCGCGCTACTGATAACTTCTGTGAAAGAAAATTGCTTGGAATATGAAGTTTTTCTTCTGTCTACAAAGGTATACTAGCGGACGGGGAAATTGTTGCTGTAAAAGTTCTAAATTTACACATTGTGGGAGCTTTCAAAAGTTTTGATGTAGAATGTAAGGTGTTGCGAACTGTTCGGCATAGGAATCTTGTCAAAGTCATCAGTACTTACTCCAACCCTGAATTAAGAGCTCTAATTCTGCAGTACATGTATAATGGAAGCCTTGAGAAGTGGCTATATTCTCACAACTACGACTTGGATTTCTTTCAGAAGTTGCGTTAGCCTTGGAATACCTGTACCATGGTCAGTCAGAGCCTGTTGTCCACTATGATTTGAAGCCCAGTAATGTCCTCTTAGATGATGAAATGGTGGCACATGTGGGTGACTTTGGCATTACAAAGATTTTAGTTGAAAACTATACTTCTACAAATACCAAGACTTTAGGCACCCTCGTCTACATCGCACCAGGTAATGATATTTTTTTTTCACTTAGCTACTATTACAAAAATGGTATATTTGTATGTCTAATATTGGGCAACTCACCTTCAAATTTTTGGGTTTATTCTGTATTAGTCTTATAGATTAACAAGTATGAAATAATACAAAAACAGGGGCACAATTAATCAGTAGGTAGTTATTTTTAATGGTTGGTGTATTGTTCTATATCATTTTAATTATATCAATATCTCGTTAGCTCAAATGAACAGTTCAACACCAGATTACAGTGCTTAGTCATGTGATATTATACTAGTTCAAGATTATTATTAATTTTAGTTTTGCTTGTTAAAATTATGAATATTTGGCAAAGTATGGTTCGGAAGGAAGAGTTTCTACAAAAGGTGATGTATACAGTTATGGAATAATGTTGTTAGAGACATTTACGAGAAAGAAACCAACTGATGAGATGTTTAGTGGAGAACTGAGTTTGGGGCAATGGGTGAATGCATCACTTCCCGGCGAAGTAATGAAAGTTGTGGATGTCAATTTATCAGGGGCTGACAGTGGAGGAGGAGACGTTGAAGCCAGAGAAAGTCATCTTTTGTTTATCATGAAATTGGGCTTGGAGCGTTCTGAAGAATTGCCAGATAAGAGGATTGATATCAAAGATGTGGTGGTTAAGTGCAAAAAAACCCCTATAGTTTCAAAAATGTGTAAATAACACCCCTAGTGTTCAAAAACCACCCATGTAGTTTTAAAATAGTGCAAATAAGGGCTTTTTGTCAGAGGGGTAGATAAAAATATGAAAATACCCCTAATATTCTTTATTCAATAATAATAAAAAAATTGAAGAAGTTGAAATTACCTAAATAGACATTAACCAATACTACGTCGTTTTGGGTAATGTGGGTAATGAATTCTTATTTCTCTCAGCTTTAATTTTTTTTGGTGAATTTCTCTCTTTCTCTTAACTCGCCGGTGTTCATGGCGAATGAGGGTTTTCATAAGCTGCCTTTGTCCCTTGGCCTCACCGTTCTCCTCATCGTCCTCTTTGTCATTGACTGGCGCATCATTAACCATCACTGCCGACCCCCCTTCAAGAAGTGCCAAGTGAGACACGGTCAAATCATCAAGATCGAAGGTAGAGACAAACAAGGCTGCAAGATCTTTCGCATCCTCAAAAAATTCTTCCCTTGTAATAATCTATATATATATATATTCTTCCCTTGGATTTTGAGATTTTGATATGTTGTTCTTGGATTACTCGGATTGTGAGTGTTGAGTTGAGAAAAAGTATTTGGAGAAGATAGATTTTGATATGTTTTTCTTGGATTAGCTCGAATTGTGAGGCCATTGAGATTGAGGAATTTCAGAGGAGGGTTTCGTGGGTCAAAACAAAAATAAGAAGTTACAAGGTGTGGGGCAGCAGCAATGGAGGATGGTGGCGACGGAATTTTGGCGGAGGTGAGGGAATTGGGTAAGCGTAGTGGAAGAAGGCAAATTCGGAATCTTTTCAAAATCTCACAATTTACCTTTTTCCAAACTCTTCTGTGTAACCATAATCCATCCAAATCCTCTGTTGATTTCATATTGCACAATTTTAGTCACTTAAGTGAGAATTTATAGAGCATCACACAAAAAAAAGTAAATAAATGAATAAAATTGGTGTTATATGTCTTATAAAATTAATTCATATGATTTTGTAGGTTTCTCCTAGTAGAGGGTTGTGTGTGTAAATACGTAGCCAGATTTACTGACTGCAAATTCAGTAACTTCTAAAGTTGCTCTGTGCATTATTGAGCTCCAATGTTTCTTAAGGAATATTAATGGAATCACTAAAGCTTCTTTTACAGATGGGTTGGAACCTTGATAACATCTTCAAATTGAAAGTTAAAGATGAAGAGACTGACTGTTAACATTACTATTATTGAAGTAGATGATAATTCTATAAACTTCTTCAACTCCATGGCTTTCTTTTATAATATATGCCCTGCACCTCCCGTTGGCCTTTCTTTAAAATTGTGATGCCAGTGTCAAATAAATCTCGAAGGAGATAAATAATAGAAATATGAATATAATAAGTATTATATATATATATATATATATATATATATATATATATATAATATGTCTATTACATATAAATTATTTATAAAAAGAAAATTAATTAATACAAATAAGAAGAAAAAAAACGTAGAGAAAGAAAAATATATATATATATATATATATATATATATAGAAATATGAGTAATATATATAGAAATGAGGGATATAATATAAGTAGGAGAGAGAAATATGAATATAATAAGTAATATATATACAAAATAGGAGAGAATAACAAATTTTAAAATTATTTTCATGTTTACAAAAACTCCCCTATATTTTTAAAAGGGTGCAAACAAACCCCTGTGGGCATTTTGGGTGTGCAAAATGGTAGTTTTGGTATTGAAGTCCAACTTTTGGTCACATGCACGGCACATGCCAAATTTGTTTGTCAGAAGCCCTTATTTGCTACTTTTTGAAACTAGAGAGGTCAAGTTTGAACAACAGGGGTATTATTTGCACATTTTTTACAATATAAGGGTGTTTTTTGCACTTACTGACGGTGTGTAAGCCGTTCCCTCACGCCAAAATGGATGTAGTGAATGTGCGGTTCAAGAAAAGCCTTTTAGGTCAAGTTTAAATTTATAAAAATGTAGCAACCCGATCATTTGCCTTCCTTTCTTTTTTCCTGAAATTTTACGAATGAATTTTTTTCGTTTAATTTTCTTTTCTGAGCTCTGTTTCGTATCGCTTAGTGTCATCTTGAGTGCTCAGAATTGATTTCTTTGAGGACCGAGTCATTTTCCCGATCATGTGAATTGACAACTTCCTTTGAGGACCGAGTCATTTTCGCATTTTTCATTTTTGGACACTATGCGCTATTTCGTCTTTTCCCTATTATGTCATTTTCTCTATTTCGTCTTATCTCCGTTTGTCAGTTTTTGGCACAACCTCACTTCTCATGCTTGGAGTTGGTTTTTGACTTCACGTGCCTTCATCTTGAGTGGTTTCCACAAAATACGTATCTTTACTTTTGTAAGAAAGTACTCTGGTTGCTCCCGGTGTCCATAGGGGCATGGATGCAAAGTTCTTTGAAATTATTTTCTTTTCTTGGGGTGTTTTTCGTAAATATCTTTTGAAGATATTTTATTTCAGGGGTTTTTAAGAAAAAAATTTTGGAAGATATTTTCATTCCGGGCCATAAGTGCAGTTTTCACTTTTTGGAGGGGCCATTGTGCAATTAATGAAAGTTATTGCAAAATGTCTTGTTTTGAGCTTGGATCCTCGTACGGGATTCATTTTCACATTTCGTCGAGTTGTGTACTCTTGGAATGTGACGACCCTGGTTTTTAGGCCAGCGTGTCCTGTGATGAACCGTAAGGATGATCCGATAACGGATCGGAATGCGAAAACGAAAACAGAAAACAAGACTCTAAGAAGTCAAAATGACCTTCCATGAGGTCATGGAACTCAACAAGAACTGATGCGGAAGCAAAAGATCAAAAATATGACAAATAAGCCCCCAGGGGCAAAATAGTCATTTCTAAAAACTATAGATTCGGGTGCCACCGAGCACACCGCTGGAAGGACAATGAAAAACTAATCAAGATGGACTCAAGAATCGCATGATTCGGAGTCTAAACGAAGGAGAAACGGCATGACGAAGAAAAACGAGCACTTAAATCAAAAAGGGTAAACTGGTAATTATCCAAGAAGACCGGGTGCAACCGAGCACACCGTTGGAAAGACAGCAAAAAATTAGTCAAGTTCAAAAAAAAATTCACTTGAATCGGAGTCCGAACGAAGGAGAAAAACCCAAAAGAAGAATTGACATCGAGGCGGCCCGACGAGGGGCCATGGCGCACACGGCTGATAAGCGCCGAATATTGTATATTCAAGCGCCCTAAATTGCATTAGTTAAGTCCATCGTTTGATTATTTAAGTAGATTATCTTCATTTGTGTGTATGTATATATTTTCAGGTCCATTTGCCAAAAAAGGAGCAAAATCAAGGCTTTGTGGAATCTTGAGCAACAAAAGGTGCCAATGCTGAATTCTGGCAGCAGTAGAACCTGGACTTTGCTCGCCATTTTGACCTTCCAAACTCGAGAATTGGACTTCCCTCATAACATGAAAGATTTAGGGATCTGAATCAGCTTTCCAAATCTTCAAACGGTTTGTCATTCGGAGCTCGGAGCAGAGAGTTATGGCCTTGTTACCAGAGGTGCGCAGAACTGCCTGGCAGCAATGAAATTCTGCCTTGATCTTCATTTTCGACCAACCATCCTTGAGAATTGGATCTCCACTAAAACTTAAAATATTTAGAGCTCTGAATTAGCTTTCTAAATCTTCAAATGGTTCATCATTCGGAGTTCGGAGCGCAAAGTTATGGCTGTTTAACCAAAGTAGGTCTGGGCGGAGCAAGGCAAGAATGGAGCATTCTGCTCCAATTTCGAGTGCTCGAGCCCTTATTTCGAGTGCTCGAACTTAGGGCAGAATTGCATCCGGAAATGGCCCATTTTCAGCCACTTGCATCTTGGGTTCCTCAATTCTAATTTCCCTCTTTAATGGTTGGTTGGAGATGTTGGTTGGTGGGGGTTTCTAGAGCCTTATCTCTAGAAGATAAGAGAGGGAAGCCACACAATAGGAGAGAGCTTCATTTTACAAGATTAGAGGAGAGAGAAGAGAGCAAGAAAGGTGTGTTCTTGGAGCTAGAAGAGGGGAGCTCGAAAATGGAGGTCAAGGCTTTGCTTCCTCCTTCCTCTAGTGCATCAATGGGTAACTAACTCCCTTCTAGGGAGGTGATGAAACTCCTTCTTGTAAGCATGTCTTGTTTTTGATTTACATTTGGGGATGTAATGTATATATATGACCTTTCCATGAACTAGAGCTTTATTTGATGTGAAGAGCTTCAATGTCTATTAATGATCATTTTGAGTTTAAGATCTTGTCTTAAGATTGTCTCCTCTTATGATTATTTTGCTTCCATTTTCATAGTGACAATGAAGATGAGTTTATGGAAATGTTTTTATTGGCATGATGCTTGGGAAATTTGATAGTCTATAGCTTAGGGTTCTCTTTTGATAGATTATTCTTGATTCCTAATGTCATGTGCTTCTACTATGTGATTAAGGGCTTGATAACTCTATGCTTAGTGAGTATGTCTAAGGTTGCAACCTAGTTTAGGTAACCAAAACATGCAATACTTTGATAAGTTATTCTTTCCTATTGATTTCATAAAAATTCTTGAAGGTAATGTAGCAATTTTATGTTGTTGCATTTCATGGTTTTATGTATATATTATTCCCCAAGTAACTCATGTATTAACATGCTTATGGATAGGTAGTGGATTCACTTCCCTAGCCCTCTCTACCTAGATCTCCTTCCTTTACATTTACTAGCATTCTTGTTTTATGCACACTTCAATTACTAGCTTAGTGACAAACCAATCAACAACTCCTTATTACACCTTATCATTCTTAAATAACTCTAGATACTTAGGTTGCCTTAAGACTAGCGCAGTCCCAGTGGTTCGACTTACCCGACCAATAGCCCTATTTTACAATGATTCGTGCTATTGCGAATGTTGATGTATAGTTGATCAACCGATCAATTTTTGGCGCCGTTGCCGGGGACTGCAAACGGTTTAGCAACCAAAGTTTAGGGTTAATTTTAGTTT